TTGTTGTATTCAATTGTTAATGTCCATGTTCTAGACATGGTCTACATTGTTATAACCAATGAACTGAGAAGTTGTTTTGCTTGTTAGCAATGCTTTCCTTTAGAAATGTGTGGAATATTACAATATAAATCTTTAAATGCCGTTTTCGCAAAATGAGTTTTCTCTCATACTCAAAGTCTGAAATCTCCACTTCAGTTGCACCTATACACACCAATTAGATTAGATTAGATTCAACTTTATTGTCATTGTGCAGAGTACAAGTACAGAGACAACAAAATCTTTTTGGCATTCTAACCAAAAAAGTGCAAAAGAGCAACAAGGTGCAGTACAAACATGAATAGGCATAAAGTGCAATATGGTAGTAAGGTAATATGGTAAGCTGGTGCAGAGGATACAGATAAGACTGGTATATTATAGAGCAGCATTGGTGGATATAAGATAGTTACATTATGAACAATATTTACAGTATGGACATTATAAAAAATATGCTAATAAATATCAAGTGGAATAGGATATTATATATACAGTCAAGTAGTATAGGAAGTGCAGTGATCAATGTAAAGTCAAGTACAAATGTACAGTCAAGAATTTAGGAGTACTGCAGTGTCCATGGGGGGTGTTTGAGGAGGAGGAGGGAGGTGGGGAAAGTACACTTGGGTATGGAGTTCAGTAGGGTGACAGTCTGAGGGAAAAAACTTCTTAACCTACTGGTTCTTGTGCCAAGAGACCTGTAGCGCTTTCCGGAGGGGAGGTAGGTAAACAGTCTATGGTTGGGATGGGAATTGTCCTTAGCAATGCAGCGCACCTTGCGTAGGCACCGCTTTTTATGGACAGACTCGATGGAGGGGAGTGGGGAACCAATGATGCGTTGAGCAGTTTTCACAACCTTCTGCAGTGCCTTCCAGTCAGAGGCAGAGCAGTTGCCATACCATACAGTGACACAGTTAGTAAGTATGCTCTCGATGGTGCTGCGGTAAAAGTTTGCCAGGATCTGTGGGGACAGGTGGGCCTTTTTTAGTCTCCTCAGGAAGAAGAGGCGCTGGTGAGCCTTCTTGATCGTAGAAGAGGTGTTGAGGGACCAGGTGAGGTCCTCGGAGATGTGGACTCCCAGAAACTTAAAGCTGGTGACACGTTCAACCTCCGCTCCATCGATACGGAGGGGTGTGTGTGTGCCACCTTTAGACTTTCTGAAGTCCGTGATGGTCTCTTTGGTCTTCATGGTGTTGAGGGACAGGTGGTTGTCGGCGCACCACACAGCTAGGCGCTGGACCTCGTCTCTGTATGCTGACTCATCATTGTCGCTGATGAGACCAATCACCGTTGTGTCGTCTGCAAACTTAACAATGGTGTTTGAGCCATGTATGTCTTCGCAGTCGTGGGTGAAGAGGGAGTACAGGAGAGGGCTCAGCACACAGCCCTGCGGAACGCCAGTGTTCAGGGTGAGGGTAGAGGAGGTGTGGTTGTTGATCTTAACAGACTGCGGTCTGTCTGTCAGGAAGTCCAATATCCAATTGCAGAGGGAGGGGTCGATGTCCAGGTCATGCAGTTTGGTGATCAGTATGGAGGGGACAATGGTGTTGAACGCTGAGCTAAAGTCAATGAACAGTATTCTTACATAAGAGTTCTTTTTGTCAAGGTGGGAGAAGGCGGAGTGAAGTGCCGTGGAAATGGCATCCTCTGTACTCCTGTTCTGGCGGTAGGCAAACTGAAAGGGGTCTAGTGAGGGTGATAGATGGTTTTTGATCCGAGCCAGGACCAGCCTCTCGAAGCACTTCATGATGAAGGGGGTAAGTGCGACTGGGCGGAAGTCATTTAGGCTCTTGGCAGAGGAGTGTTTAGGCACCGGCACGATGGTGGTGGATTTGAGGCACTTCGGGACAACTGCTTGGGCTAATGACAGGTTGAAAATGTTGAAATGCCTGATTTATTTTTAACGTTTTATTCCAAAAAACATGGTGAAAATCCCTCTGTATTGTTTTTTCCATCTAATATGTTAACAAAATTATAAAATAATTTTGAACCTGGCTTTATCACATGATCAGATTTCATTTTTTTTAAATGTATGCAAATTAGCACATATTTAATTAGATAGTCCCAAATTTGCATATTCATACATTAAAATACAAAAAACTTGCAATACATTTTTTTCTTATCTTAACACAAGTAATCAACTGAGAAAGTTTCATGGTGATATCTATTATTAATGTTTTTTACCCTCTTCACCTGTAGTGTCTCGGCTTAAGTAGCAGAACCAAATTATTTTATATTTGTGAAAAGAATAATAACACACAGAAATGTTTATTTTGTAGTTTTGAGAATTTTTACATGTAATTAATGACAAGTATAAGTTTATGTATATTTCTGTGCATATTGTGTTGAAATATGGATAAAATGTTGTTTTTGAAGAAAGAAAAGAAAATGGAAATACAGTTTAAGTAAAACTGAAATGCATAAACAGATGTATAAAAATAAAGACTGGCAGAAGCAAAAAATAAAGCTAGTCCGAAAGTGCTCAGCAGTTGGATGCAAACTTAGTGTCATTGTGTTCTAGTGATCAACATATCCCATTGTGCTCTGTGCGTTATTTCATCAAAAGGTGTGGCTATGGCGTGCGTTCAAAGTTTGATGTGCATTTTGGCAACTTGCCAAAAAAGTAAATGGTTATATCTCTGCCATGCAGTGTTCAACCATATTAAAATTTCTCATACATGATACAGGGCCTGCCCTGAACACATGAATTAATTTTTTTGCTTAGTCACAGCGCCACCTGTTGACAACAGGAAGTTACTGCTTCTCAATTAGCATTAGCCATTGCTACACGGTAGCTCATTTTCCCCTCAAAATTGGTGTGGACCATGCTAACACCTTGGCCATACAACACTTTCAAGGTCAAATGCCTACGTCCAACGCTGTTGCCCTACGGACACGTCGCTCGCCATGAAACAGGAAGTAGTTTTTTCACGGTCTTAACATAGTCGTACTGTCCCAAAACTTCATACATATAATCCTGGTAGTAAAGTCAAACATTTTATACCATTTAAGTGAGTGGGCGTGGCTTAATGGCTTAGTGGCACCCCCTACAATATTACAAACATTAAACCCCAGCAGCACGTTGAACCTACAATTCTGAATTTTACTATACATTTCCAACATGACAAAACCTACAAAAAAGCCTCTTCAACCCACGCCCAAAACTTAACAGGAAGTCCACAAATCACATCGCCATCAAACAGGAAGTGGCTGTAACTCTTATATACTTTGTCTGATCTTGAAATTACATCGGTATTATCAAGGTTGGCCTCTGAACACAGTGACACAAAACAAAAATAAATTTTAACCATAGCGCCTCCTAATGCAAGGACTAAGTACTACATCATACATACTTTCTTGGATCTGCTTAAAATTTCCCAGGTATGATCAGGGTTGGCCTCTGAACACAGACATAATAGTAAACTTTAACCATAGCGCCTCCTACTGCAAGGAGTAAGTACTACACTGCTCAATTTGCTCCAAATTTAACAGGTATCATGACAGTGCCAGCCCGAACTGTTCTACGTAAACATTTTCTGTGATATTCATTACGTTTCCTATTTCAACATGCCAGCATTACCACTTTTACACAAATCGAAGTGCACGGCCTGCTGCTTAGCCACATTCTGCTACTGCTGCACTCCCGCAGTCGCGACACACCCCAACCTGCACTGGGGTGCGAGGGCCCTTCATCACCGCTTGTGGTTTTAATTTCTTTTACTTTTGTTTTGACTTTTTCAGTATAGTTTGAATTAGTTTAGTTAAATGTTTACTTTGTAAAAATCCTGAGTTTAGTTTGTATTAGTTCTTTTTACTAAATCAGAGTTGAGACAGAGTAAACATACTATTTTGTGCAAATAAACTTCATGATGCAACTCCTGCATAAGCTCATCCAAAATAGAAATGACTGTTCCTGGTATAAACCATGTGTCACTCAGTATGTTTGTGGCAAAGGCAAGGCAACTTAATTTATACCGCACACTTCAGAAGCAACACAGTGTGCTTTACACAGGAAACACTACACAAATACAAGGCTAAAATAGGAGTACATAAAATCAAGGGAAATAAATTGTTTTGAGACCAAAATAATTTAAAGAAATAGTGAACAGAATAGGGACATTTTCTATTTTAACGTAGTTTGCCAACACAATGCCATTTTAGATAGTTTGTGTTTAGGAAAATCTTCTCTATTTCAATAGTATTTGTTAATTTAATAACCTTGAACTTTAGCCTGCAGTGTTTGTTTGGCCATAGCTAAAATATTAGTTGTTTGAAACATGAAATAGGAGTAACAACTCTATTTAATATTCATTTCCTAGGTGGGATATACATTAGGACTTAAATTAAAATACATACTTTCCAACAAATACAGGAAATTGAAATACATTTGACTTTATTACAATAGGTAATTGATACTCAAACCAGTGTTTCAGTATTAAAATCTGTGGAGTAGAAACATTCCAAGTTAAGAGGAACAGCAGTATATACAAAGAACATGGAAATATATTCCAATAATTCTCAGGTAATTTTTTCCTTCATCTGGAAAACTGTTTCCTAAGGGATGTAAAGCAGGGAAGGTGTTGTTGTTTGTAATAAGACATGACAAAATGACACTGCAATGAGATGGAAGATGACATTTTTGTAAGACCTGCTGATGAAGGTAGCAATTAGTTAAAAATATTAAGCACCACAGAGGGAGATGTGTTCAGCTAAAGCACCTTTAGACACAAGCTCTGAAAAAGTTAGCCCCCTAACCGTCTGCATATGTTCAATCCCATGTCATTGACAACTAATTTGCAATGCAACGCAACATGCTTTAGAGCTTGTTCACAACCATTTTAGAAAATAAATTTGTTGAGCAATGTGCCACCATGGAGACAAGTCTGAAATAGCCCTTTTAGGGTTTGAAAAGAATAGAAAGTACATACCGTCATTGGCAGTTACAGGTCAAATAAACAGATAAGACAGTATCACTTGTTTGTCAAACCATTTATTAAAACACATCACACTTGAGGGGGATATGGTAGGGGATAGGGAGGTGGATATGCATGTACGGAAACTCAGGAACAGCAGCATGCGGATGACAATGTGGTCAAGGCAATGTAAGTGGTGGAGGGGGCTCTGTTGTAGTAGGTGATGGAGGGGGCTCTGTTGTAAAGGGTGGGGTAGTAGGTGGTGGAGGGGGCTCTGTTGTAAAGGGTGGGGTAGTAGGTGGTGGAGGGGGCTCTGTTGTAGAAGGTGGAGTAGTAGTTAATGGCTCAGGCAGTGAGTAGGTATGGTAAGGAGAATAAATGGAAGGCATATATTGTTTATAGTATTGTGCAGGATGTTTAACTTGGGGCGGTATAGTGGGTTTAGTCTTTGTCGGTTTAGTTTTAGTGGGCTTAGTCTTGGTTGGTTTGGTTTTAGTCGGTTTTGTTTTGGTGGGTTCAGTGGGCTTCGTTTTGGTCGGTTTAGTTTCAGTGGGCTTAGTCTTGGTCGGTTTAGTTTTAGTCGGTTTAGTCTTGGTCGGTTTAGTTTTAGTCGGTTTAGTTTCAGTGGGCTTAGTCTTGGTGGGTTTAGTTTTAGTGGGCTTAGTCTTGGTCGGTTTGGTTTTGGTGGGTTTTGTTTCAGTGGGCTTCGTTTTGGTCGGTTTAGTTTTAGTGGGCTTAGTCTTGGTGGGTTTAGTTTTGGTTGGTTTAGTTTCAGTGGGCTTAGTTTTAGTAGGCTTAGTCTTGGTCGGTTTAGTTTTAGTCGGTTTAGTCTTGGTCGGTTTAGTTTTAGTCGGTTTAGTTTCAGTGGGCTTAGTCTTGGTGGGTTTAGTTTTAGTGGGCTTAGTCTTGGTCGGTTTGGTTTTAGTCGGTTTTGTTTTGGTCGGTTTTGTTTCAGTGGGCTTCGTTTTGGTCGGTTTAGTTTTAGTGGGCTTAGTCTTGGTGGGTTTAGTCTTGGTTGGTTTGGTTTTAGTCGGTTTTGTTTTGGTCGGTTTAGTTTTAGTGGGCTTAGTCTTTGTTGGTTTAGTTATAGTGGGCTTAGTTTTGGTCGGTTTAGTTATGGTGGGTTTTGTTTTAGTGGGCTTAGTCTTGGTCGGTTTTGTTTTGGTCGGTTTAGTTTTAGTGGGCTTCGTTTTGGTCGGTTTAGTTTTAGTAGGCTTAGTCTTGGTCGGTTTTGTTTTAGTGGGCTTAGTTTTGGTGGGTTTTGTTTTAGTGGGCTGAGTCTTGGTCGGTTTTGTTTTGGTCGGTTTAGTTTTAGTGGGCTTAGTTTTAGTGGGTTTTGTTTTGGTGGGTTCAGTTTCAGTGGGCTTCGTTTTGGTCGGTTTAGTTTTAGTGGGCTTAGTCTTGGTCGGTTTAGTTTTAGTGGGCTTAGTCTTGGTTGGTTTGGTTTTAGTCGGTTTTGTTTTGGTCGGTTTAGTTTTAGTGGGCTTAGTCTTGGTGGGTTTAGTTTCAGTGGGCTTAGTCTTGGTGGGTTTAGTTTTAGTGGGCTTAGTCTTGGTCGGTTTGGTTTTAGTCGGTTTTGTTTTGGTCGGTTTTGTTTCAGTGGGCTTAGTCTTGGTGGGCTTAGTTTCAGTGGGCTTAGTTTTAGTAGGCTTAGTCTTGGTCGGTTTAGTTATGGTGGGTTTAGTCTTGGTCGGTTTAGTTTTAGTGGGCTTCGTTTTGGTCGGTTTAGTTTTAGTAGGCTTAGTCTTGGTCGGTTTAGTCTTGGTCGGTTTTGTTTTAGTGGGCTTAGTTTTGGTGGGCTTAGTCTTGGTCGGTTTTGTTTTGGTCGGTTTAGTTTTAGTGGGCTTAGTTTTAGTGGGTTTTGTTTTGGTGGGTTCAGTTTCAGTGGGCTTCGTTTTGGTCGGTTTAGTTTTAGTGGGCTTAGTCTTGGTTGGTTTGGTTTTAGTCGGTTTTGTTTTGGTCGGTTTAGTTTTAGTGGGCTTAGTCTTGGTGGGTTTAGTTTCAGTGGGCTTAGTCTTGGTGGGTTTAGTTTTAGTGGGCTTAGTCTTGGTCGGTTTGGTTTTAGTCGGTTTTGTTTTGGTCGGTTTTGTTTCAGTGGGCTTAGTCTTGGTGGGTTTAGTTTTGGTGGGCTTAGTTTCAGTGGGCTTAGTTTTAGTCGGTTTAGTTTTAGTAGGCTTAGTCTTGGTCGGTTTAGTTATGGTGGGTTTAGTCTTGGTCGGTTTAGTTTTAGTGGGCTTAGTTTTCGTCGGTTTAGTTTTAGTAGGCTTAGTCTTGGTTGGTTTAGTTATGGTGGGTTTTGTTTTAGTGGGCTTAGTTTTGGTCGGTTTAGTCTTGGTTGGTTTGGTTTTCGTGGGTTTTGTTTTAGTGGGCTGTGTCTTAGTGGGCTTAGTTTTGGTCGGTTTTGTTTTAGTGGGCTGAGTTTCAGTGGGTTTAGTCTTTGTCGGTTTAGTTTTAGTGGGCTTTGTCTTGGTTGGTTTAGTGGGCTCAGTTTTGGTCGGTTTAGTCTTGGTGGGTTTAGTTATGGTGGGTTTAGTCTTGGTCGGTTTGGTTTTAGTCGGTTTTGTTTTGGTCGGTTTAGTTTCAGTGGGCTTAGTCTTGGTGGGTTTAGTTTTAGTGGGCTTAGTTTTGGTCGGTTTAGTTATAGTGGGCTTAGTTTTGGTCGGTTTAGTTTTAGTGGGCTTAGTTTTAGTGGGTTTAGTTTCAGTGGGCTTAGTTTTAGTTGGTTTTGTTTTGGTGGGTTCAGTTTCAGTGGGCTTAGTCTTGGTCGGTTTAGTTTTAGTCGGTTTTGTTTCAGTGGGCTTCGTTTTGGTCGGTTTAGTTTTAGTGGGCTTAGTCTTGGTCGGTTTGGTTTTAGTCGGTTTTGTTTCAGTGGGCTTAGTCTTGGTGGGTTTAGTTTTAGTGGGCTTAGTCTTTGTTGGTTTAGTTATAGTGGGCTTAGTTTTGGTCGGTTTAGTTTTAGTGGGCTTAGTTTTAGTCGGTTTTGTTTTGGTGGGTTCAGTTTCAGTGGGCTTCGTTTTGGTCGGTTTAGTTTTAGTGGGCTTAGTTTTAGTGGGCTTAGTCGGTTTTGTTTTGGTGGGTTTAGTTTTGGTCGGTTTTGTTTTAGTCGGTTTTGTTTTGGTGGGTTTAGTTTTAGTGGGCTTTGTCTTGGTTGGTTTGGTTTTTGTGGGTTTTGTTTTAGTGGGCTGTGTCTTGGTGGGCTTAGTTTTGGTCGGTTTAGTTATAGTGGGCTTAGTTTTGGTCGGTTTAGTTTTAGTGGGCTTAGTCTTGGTGGGTTTAGTTATGGTGGGTTTAGTCTTGGTTGGTTGAGTTTCAGTGGGCTTAGTCTTGGTGGGTTTAGTTTTAGTGGGCTTAGTTTTGGTTGGTTTAGTTTTAGTGGGCTTAGTCGGTTTTGTTTTGGTGGGTTTAGTTTTAGTCGGTTTTGTTTTGGTGGGTTTAGTTTTAGTGGGCTTTGTCTTGGTTGGTTTGGTTTTTGTGGGTTTTGTTTTAGTGGGCTTAGTTTTAGTGGGCTGTGTCTTGGTGGGCTTAGTTTTGGTCGGTTTAGTTATGGTGGGTTTTGTTTTAGTGGGCTTAGTTTCAGTGGGCTTAGTCTTGGTCGGTTTGGTTTTAGTTGGTTTTGTTTTGGTCGGTTTAGTCTTTGTTGGTTTAGTTTTAGTGGGCTTAGTCTTGGTCGGTTTGGTTTTAGTCGGTTTTGTTTTGGTCGGTTTAGTTTCAGTGGGCTTTGTTTTGGTCGGTTTAGTTTCAGTGGGCTTTGTTTTGGTCGGTTTAGTTTTAGTCGGTTTTGTTTTGGTCGGTTTAGTTTCAGTGGGCTTTGTTTTGGTCGGTTTAGTTTTAGTGGGCTTAGTCTTGGTGGGTTTAGTTTTGGTGGGCTTAGTTTTGGTCGGTTTAGTTTTAGTGGGCTTAGTCTTGGTTGGTTTAGTTATGGTGGGTTTAGTCTTGGTCGGTTTGGTTTTAGTCGGTTTTGTTTTGGTCGGTTCAGTTTCAGTGGGCTTAGTCTTTGTTGGTTTAGTTATAGTCGGCTTAGTTTTGGTCGGTTTAGTTATAGTGGGCTTAGTTTTGGTCGGTTTAGTTTTAGTGGGCTTAGTCTTGGTCGGTTTAGTTTTAGTGGGCTTAGTTTTGGTCGGTTTAGTTTTAGTGGGCTTAGTCTTGGTCGGTTTAGTTTTGGTGGGCTTGGTTGGTTTTGTTTTGGTGGGTTTAGTCTTGGTGGGTTCAGTTTTAGTCGGTTTAGTTTCAGTGGGCTTAGTTTTAGTGGGCTTCGTTTTGGTCGGTTTGGTTTTAGTCGGTTTTGTTATGGTGGGTTTAGTCTTGGTCGGTTTAGTCTTGGTCGGTTTGGTTTTAGTCGGTTTTGTTTTGGTCGGTTTAGTTTCAGTGGGCTTCGTCTTGGTCGGTTTGGTTTTAGTTGGTTTAGTTATGGTGGGCTTAGTTTTAGTGGGCTTAGTTTTAGTGGGCTTAGTTTTAGTCGGTTTGGTTTTGGTCGGTTTAGTTTCAGTGGGCTTAGTCTTGGTTGGTTTAGTTATAGTGGGCTTAGTCTTGGTGGGTTTAGTTATAGTGGGCTTAGTCTTGGTGGGTTTAGTTTTAGTGGGCTTAGTCTTGGTGGGTTTAGTTTTAGTGGGCTTAGTCTTGGTGGGTTTAGTTTTAGTGGGCTTAGTCTTGGTTGGTTTAGTTATAGTGGGCTTAGTCTTGGTTGGTTTAGTTATAGTGGGCTTAGTCTTGGTGGGTTTAGTTATAGTGGGCTTAGTCTTGGTGGGTTTAGTTTTAGTGGGTTTAGTTTTAGTGGGCTTAGTCTTGGTTGGTTTAGTTATAGTGGGCTTAGTCTTGGTGGGTTTAGTTATAGTGGGCTTAGTCTTGGTTGGTTTAGTTATAGTGGGCTTAGTCTTGGTCGGTTTAGTTATAGTGGGCTTAGTCTTGGTGGGTTTAGTTTTAGTGGGCTTAGTCTTGGTGGGTTTAGTTTTAGTGGGCTTAGTCTTGGTGGGTTTAGTTTTAGTGGGCTTAGTCTTGGTTGGTTTAGTTATAGTGGGCTTAGTCTTGGTTGGTTTAGTTATAGTGGGCTTAGTTTTAGTGGGCTTAGTCTTGGTGGGTTTAGTTTTAGTGGGCTTAGTTATAGTGGGCTTAGTCTTGGTGGGTTTAGTTTTAGTGGGCTTAGTCTTGGTTGGTTTAGTTATAGTGGGCTTAGTCTTGGTTGGTTTAGTTATAGTGGGCTTAGTCTTGGTGGGTTTAGTTATAGTGGGCTTAGTCTTGGTGGGTTTAGTTTTAGTGGGTTTAGTTTTAGTGGGTTTAGTTATAGTGGGCTTAGTTTTAGTGGGCTTAGTCTTGGTGGGTTTAGTTATAGTGGGCTTTGTCTTGGTGGGTTTAGTTATAGTGGGCTTAGTCTTGGTCGGTTTAGTTTTAGTGGGCTTAGTCTTGGTTGGTTTAGTTATAGTGGGCTTAGTCTTGGTGGGTTTAGTTATAGTGGGCTTAGTCTTGGTTGGTTTAGTTATAGTGGGCTTAGTCTTGGTCGGTTTAGTTTTAGTGGGCTTAGTCTTGGTGGGTTTAGTTTTAGTGGGCTTAGTCTTGGTCGGTTTTGTTTTGGTCGGTTTAGTTTTGGTCGGTTTAGTCTCAGTCGGTTTTGTTTTAGTGGGCTTAGTTATTGTCGGGTCAGCAATAGTCGGTTTAGTTTCAGTAGTAGTCACCAGAGGGTCGTAAGGGTAGCAAGGTGGGAAGAAGGGACAAGGAAACGTTGGGGATGGAGTTGCTGTGACTGGCAGAGGGTAAAATGGACACAAGAGGGAGACTGGAACGCCTCGCCAGCGCATGAGCAGAATATAATACCCATCCTTTAGAGGAGAAAAAAAAATTCAAAGTGTTAAGCAGACCACAGGGCTACACTAGGACTGGAATTAGATTAACAGAATTATGATCAATTGAACTTCAAAACACCCAAGAATCAACATTTTTAACAGGTGGCTATACAGACACCAATCAGGTTCTTAATGCTTCATAGATGAATTAATTATTAAAATAGTTGCAGATGTTATGAAAACAACTGCTTTCAGAGTCATCATTTTCCCACCGTATACAACATTTACCATTTCAGGAAAAAAACAAACGTTACCTCTTGAACCATGTTGCAGCCATCATAGGGGACCAACATTACAAGTGCAAGAGGGTTCCTTTGCATTGTGTAGCCACAGCTTGGTGGGATTTGGGACAGAGGCATTGATTGTGCTTTTCCTAGTTGGAAAAATTCTCAGTCAGAGTGCAATCAAGAAATAGGCTACACTCTATAATGAGCACACAGCGGTAGCAAAATCCTATTCAAGTTACCTTCGTCCACTGTAAACTGTGAAGCACCTTGTCCCACTGCTTTAAACTTCATTAGAGCCACACCACACTGCAGGGAGGTTGTCAGAAGCTTCCATGATGCATCTCCGCCATCGGAATCATTTGCATGTCCTTCAGGCCAGCCTGATTGGACTAATTAAATAACCATGTGATTTGAAAAGTCACCATAAAAAGAGTCGAACAATTTAATATAATGACTTTAAGTAAATGTTTTTACCTGGAGAGTCCGCTTGATAAGCAGCTTCAGCAGAAACTTTTGAGAAGGTCTTCTTGGTTCCATCTATGACCTGAGACTCGAGGCCGGACCCTGTCTCAAGGCCTCTACCGAAAATAATTCTTCCCTCCTGGACAGCTGCTGATTTGGCTGCATGAGGGTCATTTCGTCCTTCACTTCTTTCTGTTTTCTTCAATCGGTAACAGTCAATGGTTTGCACCAAATAACATGTAAAAATAACAGCTGCAGCCAAGTAAACAGCGCCACTTCTCCTTTTTCCTTTTCGCATCATTCTGTTGCGACTCCTGGGAATGGTAAGAACTGGAGGTCAACTCTTTGCTGCGGCTATTTGAAGTGCAACAATTAGTGTTAGCGGTTCTGCAACAACCAATCAGAAGAAGCAGGGCGGGCTAGATTGATTGCTTTTTAATTATGCCAAATCGGTTCCACCTGTGTAGTGTAGCTCTTTCAGAGGAAGTCAGTATTGCTTTTACCAGGAAGTTATGTGATAACCCAGTTTCATGAATTCATATAGGTCCTCAAATTAGCTTTTACACACAAATGCAGAGAAACTGAAAGAAAAATGAAGCATGAGTGGGACCAACTTAAGGTTATTTTTTTTATATTGTTGCTCAGTATGGTAGGACACAGAACCTGAAAAAAAGGTTAAGAAACCCAGTTGAAAGATTTAAACTACATCATAAAATTACTAGCAAGGCTTACCTTTGGAGTTGTTATGGCTGAGAATTTTGCCATTCAAATGGAGGATTGTCTTGGCCTGTGGAGTGAGGAAACCAGGGCCCAGGCTGCCAGTAGTTGAAGCCTGGATGTAGGTGCGACCGAGGCTGGAGTCCAGATTTGTAGCCAGTTTGGGGCATTAATTTCTGGTCATCTGGGTGTTTACCTGCCTTACTGGATTTGTACGAAACATATGGAATAAAGGGGCCTGGTAGTAAGGCACAAATGGATTCATTGGACCTGGATATTTGTTGGGCTTTGTCGTTTGAGCAGTTGAAAGGGAAGATGCAGTTGTTGGCTTAATGGTTGGCTTTGTTGTAGGATCAGGGCCACTTGGTTTAGAAGTGGGAGTGTTCATGCCCGGCTTAGTGGTTGTTGTAGGGTTACCAGGCTTGGCGGTTGTGGGGGTTGGAGGTTTAGTAGTTGGCATGCCTGGGGCTTTTCCATAAAAGGGCTGGATAAGAGGGTAGTAGTAGACATTAGAATTTTCTTGCACTTGGTGTAACCTGTCTTAACACTATGCAGTGACTGATTCCAATAACATCACCGTAGTCAACATGTGGATTCACATGGCCAAATACACTCCACCCAAGGTCTGTTAGCTGGGCATAATGCTCGACGCTTTTGGCACATGTTGCAAACACTACTGTTGCAGCTGTTTGATTGGTGAACTGACTTGAGGCAACCAAAGCAGATCTTTTCAGCTTGTATGCATCTGATTCTGTCTGACACTGATTTCTCCATGAACTTCCTGAATTTGTGCAAATCATGACCATTCTTCTTACCGAATATGCTTGTTATACATGTCTTTTCATTAGAACTTGTGGTCAGTGTCTTCGCTCCAAAAAGTGTCTATTTTTGGAATTTTGGCTTTTCAGCTTCACCTTGTCTCTGTGACTGCAATGATGTGACTGGGTTGCACGTAACTTTTGCTTCCATTGTCAGAAACTTCACAAATTGGCTGAATGAGGGGAACTGGTTTATATCCTCTTCTTCAATAACCTTTCTGTTCCAACTTACTGTTAGCCAATCTGGTAACTTTGAAATATTTTTTATGTTTTCGTTACAGTCGTTCAAGATTTCCAATGCCTTTATGTCAATCATAACAGCTCAAAACTGTCCTTAGGTCCTATCTTGGGCCATGCTTGAAGTTTGTCTCCATACGATTTTGCAATTGTAAATGGATTTCCAAATCTTTCTTCCAAAAGCAGCAGCATAGGAAGATTCAGTCCCAAGTAGGAAATAGCCATCAAGTGCGTTCTTAGCTTGTTCACTTACATATATATCTTCTCTTTGTCTTTAACGTTCTTCTGGTCAATCAGTGTTTCAAAGGAGAGTTACCAGTCTTTGTATTTCAATAGATCCCCACCGAATACTGCAGGTTCAGGAACTGGAATTCTGTTGTCACTTAAAGCTCCTGCAAGCACCTTGACGAGTTCTGGAAACATTTGTAGGGGCAGAGGTTTTGCGGGAGTTGGCACTTGGTTGTCTGCTCCTGCCTCATACTCTACAATGTCTGCCAGGTCTTCTTCAGTGGCCTTGACTTGATCATACACCTGCATTTTTGCTCTTGCTGAATTGAGACCTTTTACTGCTTCCAAGTGCTGTATTCTTCTTTTCTTTTTCTCAAGAGTCTATAGAGCTGTAAACTCATCTTCCAGTTGAGCTTTAATTCTAGCTTCGTCTTCCTCTCTCTTTAATCTTTGTTTCAGCTCTTCTGCTTCTTGCTCTAAACGACGCTTTACAACTGCTGCCTCTTGATCAGCTAACTTAATTTTAGCTTCTGCTTCAATACACTTTATTTCTAGTTTTTTTTTCTTGTTCATTTAACACTTTCATATCAGCTTGACTTGCAGCAGCCTCAGCTGCAGCTTCTTGTTGTTTTACAGAAGGTTTGCTTGATTGTTCTGAACCACTTTTCAATAAAGAAGTGACAGAACCTTATTTGTACAACATTGAGTCAAAGACAACTGCACCACTATAAACCATACAGCTGTTATATTCTTTGTTGTTGTTGTTTTTCTGTTTGTCTCTGTCAAGTCTCAGCAGATGTCTGTTTATCGTGATTCTGCTTCAGCTCCAGGTTTCTGCCTCTTAAAGGAACTTTTGTCTCGTCTCTGTAACTTTGCTGAATGTTGCTTAAAGTGCTCATGAAGGATCATAATGATCATCTTTGTAGATAATATAACAAAGAGCACGGCCTAGACCTGCTCTTTTTTTAAAGCGTGTTCAGATAACATTTGTTATGAATTAGAGCTATACAGAATAAAGATGGAATAATAACGATTTTCATTAATTTATTATTATTCTCTAAAAATAAATAAATTCAAATTCTAAGATTACTACAGAGGCCCTGAAGTCTTTAAATTAAAACATATCATCTTCTGTTTGCAAGTTATTATTTTATGGAAACAAATTATTATCATGTGTGCACAATATTATCTTGTGAAAAACAAGTTATTATGTAGCATGCACACACGAATTGTAGGAAGATATTAACTTGTGGCAACAATCGTCTTATGGACAAGATAATTGTGTTGTGGGTACTCCTTTAAAAAAAAAAAAAAAAAATCTATTTTTAGACCTTTTATATTCCAAATAATTTATTCTGTTTTCCTGTTTTACCAAACATATGTTCGAGACATGTGACCAATAAGTGTGTTGTTTTGCATGTAAAGAATAATTGTATGTATCTGCATTATTTCCCCCACATATCTCCAGCAGCTGACATAATTATGTTCAAACTTGGACATCATGGATGATGCCCTAAAACATGAATCTTCCATGAATAGGTCTATTCCTGCCGAGGTGATCTTATGTCGAGGTAAATCTTTAAAGCTATGATATAATTCTACTTTTTCACAGGTATATTTATGTTCAGCTCCTTCTTCAATTTCTCTTTAATATAACCTTTATCTTCAAAGATATCTTCCTATTAAGCTATTTGGTAAATTTCTCCTATATGTCCTACATTTATTTCTGCATGTGATTAGTATGACGTTAAAAAAATGATTACGCTTTTAATATCTAATTTAAGAGTCTTTGGAAAATAAGTTAAACATTTTAACATGCTTTTCGCTTTAATATATCTTTATTTTACATGTCTTTTACACAATAATGTTATTCTCATGGGCTATGTCATTTTTCACATTTTCATTTACAGAAAAGCACGGTGCCCTCAGTGATCCACGTGTGACTTCATATGTGCTGCGTCCATGTTTTCCTCAGCAGGAGGAGAGAGTGTGATGATGAGGATGATGTGTTTTAACGTTGTTTGCTGACATGACGGGTCCTGTAGATAATAACACACCTGCTGTAACCCTGACTACCCGACACCTTTACGGTCGTTATTGTTATTACCGAGCGTAACATCGCAATGTGTCAGCCTGCAGCTAGGTGTGAATGAAAGGAGGGAGAAGCTGCTCTATAGATCCGGTTCTTTCTGATGATCTCCTGTGGTCCAAAGGTAAGACACTACAGCAGCTTCATGTAATCACTGAGTCGCAGCTGCAGAGGTGGATGAGTAAGGTTGTCAAGCTTTATGAAACAGCTGCTGCACGGTTTGTTTCAGACATTTTTACGTGACTGCAGTTCATTTGACCTGCTGCTGAGTGAAGCGATGACAGCAGTGACAGATCATACCCTGATTTACTTATCTACATACAAAGCTCAAATTCATCTTCAATAAACTGAAAAACATGGTCCATTCACCTTTTGTGTCATCATATCCTGCATGTGAACAGGACTGCAGCTGCTCTCAGTGGGTGGGTGCAGGTTGGGGGGGATGGAGGATGCATAGTGTGCGTACAGTTTTTATATGCAAATTGAAATCTGTCTCATCTAATATAGACGCAGAGAAGGCTTCTCTGCATGGTACAACTTCACCAACTACCAAGGTGCATGGAGAATGAAAGGCTTGAAGATGTCAAAAAGCTCCAGCAACACATGATGTAGTATGAATATCATCTTTAGTAATATAATTAAAGTTAATACATTTGATCTTCACACTACAAGTGTTGCCGTTGGTTTTTTACCTCTTCTTGTCTCCACATATGACTTTGATCCTGGCAGTAACGGGAAGGATTCTCCTCTAGATATATATGTAATATGTTAACATCACTGAAGTGAAATGACAGAGAGGACTTTGCTGTTTTAAGAGATTGAAGCAGTGCACCATGTGCCAAAATTATCAGTTAAAAATTAATTACTGTAAGCAAATTGTTTCAAAAATGTTGACACATTCAATACCTCAAATAAACTATTTCAATAGCTCTTTGTTTATCTTTTCTGCCTTAACGTCCCAATTCACGAAGCCCATTGTTTTGCTCCAGGTCCAAAGTTGTTGCTAACTTCAGGACTAATCTCCTTCACTTTTACCCTCCAGCAGCAAGTGAGACAAGGGGACCTGGTTGAAGTCTGGAGAAGTTGTCCTAACCTGTATTATTTACACACACAGCTTTAGGCTGCCCCAGTTCCTGACAACTCTGTAACTCATGCACAAAGTTTATTTTCACACACTCATTCTACTTCTACACACTTAAATAACAGAGTTACGCTAACACCTGGTATTGTGTGTGCGTGTGTGTAGAATGCCGTCCCTGTCGGAGGACCTGCAGGAGGTGCGGAGTCGGGCTGAAGTGTGTCTGTACTCTGGTGGCAGGGTGGTGGAGGTGCGAGTCGGGTGATGGCTATGGCTAATCTGTCCTTACCCCCCTGCTCCAAATACCGGCACATCGCTGCAGAGACCATGGTTACAGAGAACAGCTTCGGCAGCAACAGGAAGGAGGCAAGACAACACCCCCCCCCCCCACACACACACACACACACACACACACACACACACACACACACACACACACACACACACCTGTATCTAAAAACACTGAGCCCCTCCAGGACACACAAAAAAGGGATATATTGCAAGTTAGCAGCCTTTTTTTTAATGGTAAAATCACAACACACACCTTTTCTTACCAACAGACCTTTATAGTAACTAAGCCATCCAGGAAGTGTGTTACCCGGATAGTTTAGATAACAAATCTAATTTTGACAACCTCAGAGCAGACAGAGCCTCTCACCCTCCCTCAGACTTTGGCATCCCACTTTGGGGGCCCGGACCGCAGGTGGGGCATCGATGGCTTAATCTCCACTTGGAAATATACTTACCTGTATAACATTCTTCTCAACAGACACAGAGGCTGGGTGGTTAAAGGTTGTTGGTAAATTTGGTAAATTTGTATGGAACTTCATACACATTATCCCAGTGGCCCAGTGAAAGGTTTGCTCTGGGTTTAGTGAGAGGTCGTGGTCAAGTGGCTCAGTGGCGTCCCCTAGAAAATTTGCACGTGCATGACCTATGGACATGTCGCTCTCATCTGCTGCTGAACATAATGCACTACACACTGCACCTACATTGCAGTGTTCAACTGAATTAGTATCACTCTCTCTACAGTGCCTCACCTGTTACCATGATGAATGAGGAGTAGGGCTGGGAATCTTTCAGTGTCTCACGATTCAATTTCGATTTCAATTTTTGGGTTCATTATTCGATACAGAATCGAGTTTCGATTCGAAACGATTCTGGACACTTGTAAAATAAATACTGTAGACCCATCGTCCTCAGGAGATCACTTGTTATGTAATTTAATGGTTCAATGGCTGCAGTCTAAATAAAAAAAAAAGCCCAAACTCTCCGCATTCAGGCGACCTAAATACATTTTTCTTTTGATTACAGAGAAATCAGATTGTAGATTACCCCTTGCAATGTGACGTTTAAACACAGGAAACACATATAGTATTATAAATATATGTAAACAAATATATTTAAAGGATGTTTTTTGAATTTAGAAGTGGTCTGTATGATGTTTTCTAGACCAATAACAAATACGATCTCTGTCTATGGATCTATAATAGAAACAATGGTTGCTGCTGCTGGATTCAAGTTTTGATAGAATAGAATAGAATAGAATAGAATTACTTTATTGATCCCAAACTGGGAAATTGTGGCGTTACAGCAGCAGGTTATCCAACACACAATATGAGTAAAAAACACAATGTTAGCAAATCTAAACACAATATAATATTAAATACAAAGTAAATAAGTACTAAAAATATCAAAACTAAGAATGAAGAATATATACAACCAGGATTTAACTAAGCATTACTAGTCTTAAAGAGGAAGATTAAATATAGAAGATTGAATGTAAATGTGCAAAAACAGAGTCGTAAATGGACAGTATTGACATAAGTTAAAGTGCATGAGTGTAGTCATATTATCAGCAGAAACTGTTCAATATAACGGCGAGTAGACAGCCAAATTAAGTGAACATGAGTGCAGTTATAATTTGTAAATTTAACATGTGCAGAACAGATTACAGTATGGAGAGACAGATATTATCATGATGACAGTTCTCTGCTCACATGAGGTGAGCTGTTCGGCCTTCGGTAAGAAAGATTTCTTGTATCTGTCCTTGTGACAGCGGAGTTGTATCAGTCTGTTGGAGAAGCTGCTCCGCTGTTTGTCCAGTAGGGTGTGCAGAGGGTGATCAGGATTATCCATAAT